TTTTGAGTCATCCTGACTCAGTTTCAGCACACCTGATAGTTATGGCCTCTTAATTAAACCACTCCATTCTGTTAAGGCCTGAAGTTTTCCTTGACCGGCTTGATGCAAGCAGAGATACATTTCTCAGTGAGTGAAAGTTACAGCAGCATTTCCATAGAGTGTTTTCTTCCATGCCTGGCTGGCTGCCTCATTTGTATTGGGCACGCACGGACATTCATCCCAGCGTGCTGCATTCACAACACTTCAAAAAACGTCTCTCTCTGATAAAATAAATTGAAGTGATGTGTACGTGGCAGGATAGAAGAAAAGTAAGGAACTCAATGCAGCCTCCCCGGTAACCCAGACCAATTATAGGGTCGCACCGTTATTTGTGGGTCATTGTTTTTTATTTGCATTGCGCTATTTGCATTGCCTCACACAATGAACATTACATATATTTCTATATGATGTAAAAGTCATCAAAACAAATGACATCAACAATAGTACGGTGTCATTTCCACTTCTTTTTCCTGTAACAACAGCTCGGTGGATAACAGTCCATGAGCAGTTGCCTTTTTTGCACTCACTGTCCCAGTAAGGTAAAGGTAAAGGTAAAGGTAAAGGTTCCCCTTGACAATTTTTGTCCAGTCGTGTTCGACTCTAGGGGGCGGTGCTCATCCCCTTTCCAAGCCATAGAGCCAGCGTTTTGTCCGAAGACAATCTTCCGTGGTCACATGGCCAGTGCAACTTAGACACAGAACACTGTTACCTTCCCACCGAGGTGGTCCCTATTTATCTACTTGCATTTGCATGCTTTCAAACCGCTAGGTTGGCGGGAGCTGGGACAAGCAACGGGAGCTCACTCCGTCACGTGGATTCAATCTTACGACTGCTGGTCTTCTGACCCTGCAGCACAGGCTTCTGCGGGTTAGCCCACAGCGCCACCATGTCCCACCACTATCCCGGTACTTTCTACCATCTACAAATGCCGTGGTGTTCATGACATCATGAAAGACATGAACATCGAGTGTAAAAACAAAGGAGACTGCTACTGGGCTTTTATCCGCCAACCACCGTGCTGTGGTTACAAGAAAAAGAAGCAGAAATGGCATTCTCCATGCATCGAAACGTTTGCCGTGCGTCAGCTAAACGCTTGATTGAAACTTCAGTCCGACAGTGACACCAAGTGGAATTATATCTATTACACAGCCCCAAACATGTATTTTTCAAAGCCTGCAATGAAGAAAAAGTTTGATGATGAGTATAGACAATTTCAGGAAAAGTGGGAAATGCAATAATTCTTTGTTGAACACAAGGGCACCCCGACATGTCTTATTTGCACAGAGAAAGTTGCGGTGCACAAGGAATACAATTTGAAACGTCATTACACAACTAGACATGTTGAGGCGTATGCAAAATACCAGGGAGATGAAAGAGCCAGCCGGGTTGCCAGTCTTAAAACATGTCTCCTGAGGCAACAAGATTTCTTCAAGAAAGCAACCAAAAAAATAATAATAATGCAGCAGTCGAAGCTAGCTATGTGGTTAGTGAGATGATTGCTAAAGCAGGAAAGCCATTCACAGAAGGTGAATTTGTCAAAAAGTGCATATACTCTGTCTGGAATAAAGAAATGTCAGTTTAGCAACATCAGCCTTTCTGCCAACACTGTGGCAGAGTGCATTTCTGACCTGTCAAGTGACATTTATGACCAACTCTGTGAGAAAGCCAAATGTTTCAGTGTATACTCAGTCACTCTTGATGAGACCACAGACATCACCGACACTGCTCAGCTCGCAATGTATGTCCGTGGTGTTGATGACAATTTTGAAGTGATGGAGGAGTAATTCCAATGCATGGCCAGACCACCACTCAGGAGATATTTCACCAGCTGTGTGATGCCATTGAGAATGCTGGTTTGCCATGGAAGAGGTTTGTTGGAATAACAACTGATGGAGCGCTATAATGACAGGGAGGAAAAATGGACTAGTGGCACTTGTTCAAAAAAAAAAAACTGGAAGAGGAGGGTGTGGAGGAAGTCATTGCTCTGCCCTGCATTATCCATCAGCAGGCCCTTTGCAGCAAATGCCTGAAGTTTGACAATGTGATGTCTGTCGTTGTGAAATGCATCAACCAAATCAGATCTAGGGGCTTAAAGCACCAAAGGTTTCATGCTTTTTTAGAAGAAATTGAGTCAGAATATGGGGATGTGCTCTACTTCACCAAGGTACATTGACTCAGCAGGGGAAACGTATAGAAGAGATTCTTTTAGTTGAGAGCAGAAATGAAAGCCTTCATAGAGAAGGATGGTGTGGCTGTTCCTGTGATAAGTGATCCCAAATGGCTCATGGACTTAGCTTTTCTTGTTGATATCACACATGAGCTTAATGTACTGAACAAGACGTTACAAGGCCAGGGGCAACTTATCGGTTCTGCCCATGACAACATGAGAGCATTCTCCCCAAAACTTGTGTTATGGAAAGCCCAGCTCTCTCAAACAAACCTTTGCCATTTCCCAGAATGCAAGGCACTTGTGGATGCAAGCACACCATTCAGTGGTGAGAAGTATGTTGATGTCATTTTGAAGCTACAGGAGGAGTTTGATCACAGATTTGCAGACTTCAAGACGCACAGAACCACATTTTAAATTTTTGCGGACCCCTTCTCCTTTGATGTGCAAGATGCCCCTCCTGTGCTTCAAATAGAGCTCATTGACCTGCAGCGCAACTCTGAACTCAAAGCAAAGTTCAGGGAGGTGAGTGGAAAAGCAGACAAGCTTGGGCAATTTTTGAGAGAATTGACTCCCAGCTTCCCTGAGCTTTCCCGAATGTTCAGGCGGACCATGTGCCTTTTTGGGAGCACATACTTGTGCAAAAAGCTCTTCTCCACCTTGAACTTCAATAAGTCCAAGTACAGGT